GAATCCAACAAGGACTTGTTTGTCAATGTTCGTGGCGTTTTTCACAGCGGGTGGGAACCCAAGAGCTCAGTGGATGAATGGATAAACAAAACATGGCACATATGTACAACGGGATATTATTCACTCGTAAATGGGAAAGAAATTCTGATACTTTCCACAGTATAATGAAAATTAAAAGCATTATGCTAAGGGAAATAAGCCAGAAGCAAAAGGACGAGTACTGTATAATTCCAATTACATGAGGCACCCAGAATAGCCGAGTGTGTAGTGACAGAAAATAGAAGAGATTGCCAGAAATTAGGGAAAGGGGGGATGTGGAGTTGTTTAGCAGACAGAGTTGATGTTTGAGATGATGGAAGTCCGGAAGTGGGTGGTGGTAATGGTAGGGTAGTATTTTGAATGCACTTAATGTCACTGAATTCCACACTTCAGAATGATCAGGCTGGATGTTTTGCCTAGTAGTGGAGATGTTGCCTAGGAAGCCTGCACCCCACACTGGCAGGCCTGGGCTCGACTCTGGGCTCACTCCGATTCCAGCTTCCTGTTAATGCGCCCCAGGAAAGCAGCAGGTAACAGCTTAAGTCGGTGGGTCCCTGCCACCCACATGGGAGGCTTAGATTAGCTTCTCACCTCCTGGCTGTGGCCTGGCCTGGCTGTGGCATTATAGGCATTTGAGGAATGAGCCAGTGGATGGAAGCTCACTCTGTCTCTATGACTTTTTCCTCTCTGTCTCTCAATTAAATAATAGAAATAAGCAAAAAGTGTAAATGGTTAAATGGTGACTCTTTTTTTTTTTTTTTTTTTTTTTTTTGACAGGCAGAGTGGACAGTGAGAGAGACAGACAGAGAGAAAGGTCTTCCTTTGCCATTGGTTCACCCTCCAATGGCCGCCGCGGCCGGCGCACCGCGCTGATCCAAAGCCAGGAGTCAGGTGCTTCTCCTGGTCTCCCATGGGGTGCAGGGCCCAAGCACTTGGGCCATCCTCCACTGCACTCCCTGGCCACAGCAGAGAGCTGGCCTGGAAGAGGGGCAACCGGGACAGAATCTGGCGCCCTGACCGGGACTAGAACCCAGTGTGCCAGCGCCGCAAGGCGGAGGATTAGCCTAGTGAGCCACGGCGCCGGCCTAAATGGTGACTCTTTAAAATAAAATAAAAATACATGCATCTGAATAAAAACAAATGACCATATCAAAATTTGTGAAATGTAGCTAAAGCCGGGTACAGAGGAAAACATATAGTGCTAAATGCTTCCAGTAGAGACGGGGAAAGTTGCTAAGTTCAAAAATTTAAGCACCAGCCTCAGGAAATTAGAAAAAGAAGGACAAAATAAACATTGAGAAGCAGGAAGAAAAACAAAGACAAGATCAGAAATAAACTAAAAATAGATAAGCAATAGAGAAAATGAAAAAAAAATAGAAAGCTGGCTCTGAAAATACCAATAAAGATGACAGACCAGGAAGACTGGCAAAGATAAAACAGGAAGACAGAAATTAACACTCTCAGAAATGAATAAGAGGATATCACTCTTGACGCTGCACTCATTAAAAGGATAATAAGATTCACTGTGGACTACTCCATGTACTTTACAGATGAAAGGACAAATTCTTTGAAAAATCACAACTTACTGAATGCAGCTGCTGTGAAGTTGGTAATTTCAGGAATCCCATAACTACTGAGGAAGTGGAATTCATAAGTTAAAAGCTTCTGAAAGGCCGGCGCCACAGCTCACTAGGCTAATCCTCCGCCTAGCGGCGCCGGCACACCAGGTTCTAGTCCCGGTCGGGGCGCCGGATTCTGTCCCGGTTGCCCCTCTTCCAGGCCAGCTCTCTGCTGTGGCCAGGGAGTGCAGTGGAGGATGGCCCAGGTGCTTGGGCCCTGCACCCCATGGGAGACCAGGAGAAGTACCTGACTCCTGGCTTTGGATCAGCGTGGTGCGCCGGCCGCGGTGGCCATTGGAGGGTGAACCAATGGCAAAGGAAGACCTTTCTCTCTGTCTCTTTCTCTCTCTTTCCACTCTGCCTGTCAATAAATAAATTAATTAATTAATTAAAAAAAAAAGCTTCTGAAAAAGAAATTTCTAGACCCTGACAGTTACACTGGAGATTCTGCCACTGAACTAAGAATCTTCCAGGAAATGCAAGAGGAAGGAACACTTCCTAACTTGTTTTGTGAAACCAATATTACCCTATTACTAAATCCAGACACATAATAGAAATCAAATCCAAATAATCAAAGAAGGGGGGATACTACTTAGTAATAAAAGGAACAAACTCCTGCTGCATGCAGCCACTGATGTGGACCGTAAGGGCATTGTGCTTATTGAAAACAGCCAGTTGGAAACCGTCGCATGCTGTTTGAGTCCACTTTAAAACATCCTCAAAATGACAAAGCTGTCGAGGTGGAGAAAACAGGTTAGTGGTTCCTAGGGGCCAGGGCCAGGGCGGACAGGTGAGGCTGTACCCATAGGGCCGTGGTGCTGATAGCAAGCTTCTGCCTCCTGATCATGGCATTACGTGCGTCCGCCTGGGTGCCGAGTGCAGCTGCAGCAGGTCCAGGGCTTCCCGCAGGAAGACACGAGAGACACACTCACAGCAAGGCCGGTGGCGCGGCTCTGGCTCCCCAGCACCAGACTTTATGTTTACATCACGCCACATAATGATTCTTTCTTCTTATAGTAACAAGTCTGTTGTCCATTTTCATCTAGTTACAGTTTCTTTGATTTTCAAAGGCATGTTCAAAGCATGGGTTGCTATCACAGACAGGTGCGAGACAGCGGGCTGCCCACACAAGCCAAGGCCTGGGGTGCTGTTGAGCTACGCACAAACTGGTTGCAGAAGCTAGAGTAGTACCTTGCTAATCTAGTCTTTACGGGAAGCCCCAAGTCCAAAGCAGGCCCTTTTTAAATGTTTCCCCTCTTTTGCAGTTCGTTCTATAACTCTTTAGTTTCTTTATTGTACTTATCTAAAGGTTCACTTAGATCTATTCCGCAGTTCTGACATCCTAACCATTGTTGTATTTGTAGCACATGTTGAATTAAAACTTCAATAACATTTATCTTTATTCTAGTGGGACGTATATACCAGGGAGCCTGTTGCATTTTAATTCTTTTCCACAAACAGCTCAACCTTGTGTGAAGCATTAACCCCTTATCCTACACTAACATTTGACTTGATTAAAATTCTACAAAGCAGGCCGGCGCGCCGCGGCTCACTAGGCTAATCCTCTGCCTGCGGTGCCGGCACCCTGGGTTCTAGTCCCAGTTGGGGCATCGGATTCTGTCCTGGTTGCTCCTCTTCTAGCTCTCTGCTGTGGCCTGGGAGTGCAGTGGAGGATGGCCCAAGTGCTTGGGCCCTGCACCCCATGGGAGACCAGGGGGAGGCACCTGGCTCCCGGCTTCAGATCAGCACAGGGCACCGGCCTTATGGGCCATTTAGTGGGTGAACCAACGGAAGGAAGACCTTTCTCTCTGTCTCTCTCTCTCACTGTCTGACTCTGCCTGTCAAAAAAAAAAAATTCTACAAAGCAATGGACATTTTGGAGATGATGAGACTAAGTGTTCTTCCCTAAAATTAGGAATGCAGCGATCATTAGCGGGACCACCAGGAAGCTCCGGCTTTCTTACGCAGAGTGTAGTTCCCAGCAAACCTAACGCCACCAAGAGGACCACAGCTGTCCTTCTCAGCCTTGCTGAGACAGACCTTCTGCTGTGACCTTGTCAGCTAGCCCGAGTTGCCTTGGCCTCACCACATGGGGTGAAATCGTGTGAGCCCACACATGTACATGTTTCAGAACAGGACCCTTCACTCCCCCTCTTCTCCCACCACTCTTTGTCTGAGAAAATTTGGCAAAGCATAAAGCAGCACCGTGAATACTGTGAGACAGTTCAGTTGCTTCAGCAGACTCAAACACCACCACAGAGCGTGGATGATGATGTCTGGCTGAAGGCGTCACAGGTGGTCGTGGTAAGTCCTCCACTTCAGGTTCAGGGGCATTTGCGTTCACGGTGACAAGCCCCAGCCTCACACTGTTCTCTCCCACTGTGGGGGACCCATCATCTACGTGGCCACCGCAAGGCTCCTGGGCCTGACCTGGCCAAAGCAACAAGGATGGTGACTCCTGGTTGCATCGAACAAAATAGATAAGACATGCCCTGGGGTTACAGAAATGAGCCTTCACAGTTGGAAAGGGGAGGCTGGAGCTTGGGGCAGCCTCTCTCCTGCTCCAGAGTATCAGACAGAAAGGATGAGCAGGTGATAACAGCTGTCGACAGCACGGAGGTCAAGTGTGTTCACTGGACACCTGCTCCCCGCGTTAAACACCTGTGGTAAAATGCATAGCTAAGAGGCACCATCGTAACCGCCCCGTGGTGCTCGCGTCACCACTCTCCGCACCCAGAACTCCTTCGTCGTGTGCGAGTCCCTGCTGTACTCAGCCCCTGGCTACCTCGTGCTATTCTCGGGCTCCATGGGCTTGGAGACTGCAGGTCCCTCGTGGAAGTCCACGCATCCTGCGTTTGTCCTCGTGGTTGGCTGACTTCACTTAGCACCTGTCCCCTAGACTCACCGAGTTTCTGTCTTTTTAAGGCCAACATCCCCCTGTGTGTACAGTCAGGGCGAGCACCCATGAGCCAAAAATCTGAAGCCCAAGGCCTCCAAAACCTGCGACTTTGTGAGTGCCAATCGCTGTACGGAATGTTTTGGATTTTGGAGCATTTTGGGATTCTGGATTTTTGGATTAGGGGTGCTCAACTGGTAAAGACTATGCAAATATTCTAAAGCAAAAAAAAAAAAAATCAGTTTTTAAAATCGGCACCAAGCACTTCGGATATGGTCTACCCACCCTGGTGCACATTTTGCTATCCATTTACCTGTCAGTGCAGATTTGGGTCACAGCTCCCTTTCGGCCATTGTGGATAATGCTGTGAGAACGTGGTGCACAAGTATCTCTTCAGGACCCCGTGTTCCATTATTTTGGGTAATACAGCTGGTCTTGGCTTGCAGCTGGGTTGCACCTCAGTGAACCCGTCACAAATGGACAGCATCCCAAACTGCAGAGGCACTGATCTCCCTGACCTTCTGCGGATCCTGGCCGAGCAGCACCGCACGCTGTAGGACGGGGGCTGTTCGCCTTGTGACCTCCAGGCTGACCCAGAGCTGTGCTCTCTGCCGCTGTCCTGCGTTGCCAGAGAGGATCGGACTGCACAGAGCCAACCCAGGACGGACCCACCTCCCACATCCCACGTGTGGCTTCTGCTGAATGCTCGTCATCGCTTTCTCACCGTTAGAAATCAGGGATTGTTTGGGGTGCTAGATCTTGGGGTAATTCTACTTTAAATTTTTTGAGGAACCGGGATACTGTTTTCCATTGCAGTTGTATCATTTTATATTTTACCCACAATGCATAAGCATTCCAATTTTTTATCTCCTGTTAACACTTGTTATTTCCTGACTTTGGGGTTTTGTTTTCCTTCTAAGATTTTTCCTTTAATTGGAGATGCGGAGAGAGGAAGAGGGAGAGAGGAGAGAGCTCCCACCTGCAAAGGCTCTGGCTGGGCCGGATGAAAGATGGGAACTGGGAACTCAGTACAGGTATTTCACAGGGCTGGCAGGAACCCAAGCACTGGAACCATCACTGCCGCCTCCCAGGGTCTGCGTTAGCAGGAAGCTGGCATCAGGAGCTGGAGCTGGGTATGGAACCAGCACTTCGAGAGGGGCCCCAGGTGTCTCAACCAGCAGCTTAATTGCTACACGAATACCTGTCCATTTTTTACAGTACCCTCTCTCTCGATGTGAGGGGTCTCCCTGCGTTTTAAACACGAGCAATTGTTGTCTTCACTGTTCCTCAAACGCACATGCCGTGAGACAGCATGTGAGACCCTGTGCCCTCCGCCCAGCACTTCTCACACGACTTTGGAGCCTGGCTTTCCCCCTCCTGTGCCCTGACTGCTGCCTGCAGCCGGATGCCTCATCTGTGTCTCTTCACACTCAGCCTCTAACGAGAGGCATCCGGGAAGTGGTGAACTGGCCAAACACAGCCACCTGTCCTTCCTCCCCTCCCCTCCCCTCGCCGCCCCAGCTCTCAGGAAGCAGCGCTGCAAGGACTCTGGGACAGAGCCTGGTGCCCAGTGGCCCAGGGACAGCTGGGCAGGTTCCATGGGCTCCTCCTACTTTTGCTTGGGGTTTCATCAGCTGGGGCGGACAGAGCCAGGCAGACCCATTCTTCTGGTTTTTTAAAAAACTTTTATTTAATAAATATAAATTTCCAAAGTACAGCTTTTGGATTACAGTGGCTTTTTCCCCCCATAATTTCCCTCCCACCTGCAACCCTCCCATCTCCCGCTCCCTCTCCCATTCCATGCATGTCAAGATTCATTTTCAATTCTCTTTATATACAGAAGATCCATTTATTATATATCAAGATTTCAACAGTTTGCACCCACACAGAAACACAAAGTGTAAAGTACTGTTTGAGTACTAGTTATAGCATTAATTCACATTGAACAACACATCAAGGACAGAACTCCTACATGAGGAGTAAGTGCACAGTGACTCCTGTTGTTGACTTAACAAATTGACACTCTTGTTTATGGTGTCAATAATCACCCAAGGCTCTTGTCATGGGTTGCCAAGGCTATAGAAGCCTTTTTGAGTTTGCCAACTCCGATCTTAGTTAGACAAGGAAATAGTCAAAGTGGAAGTTCTCTCCTCCCTTCAGAGAAAGGCACCTCCTTCTTTGATGGCCCGTTCTTTCCACTGGGGTCTTACTCGCAGAGATCTTTCATTTAGGTTTTTTTGTTTTTGTTTTTTGTTTGTTTGTTTGTTTTTTGCCAGAGTGTCTTGGCTTTCCATGCCTAAAATACTCTCATGGGCTCTTCAGCCAGATCTGAATGCCTTAAGGGCTGATTCTGAGGCCAGAGTGCTGTTTAGGGCATCTGCCATTCTATGAGTCTGCTGTGTATCCCACTTCCCATGTTGGATTGTTCTCTCCTTTTTAATTCTATCAGTTAGTATTAGCAGTCACTAGTCTTGTTTGTGTGATCCCTTTGACTCTTAGTCCTATCATTATGATCAATTGTGAACTGAAATTGATCACTTGGACTAGTGAGATGGCATTGGTACATGCCACCTTGATGGGATTGAATTGGAATCCCCTGGCACGTTTCTAACTCTATTATTTGGGGCAAGTCAGCTTGAGCATGTCCCAAATTGTACATCTCCTCCCTCTTTTATTCCCATTCTTATATTTAACAGGGATCACTTTTCAGTTAAATTTAAACACTTAAGAATAATTGTGTGTTAATTAAAGAGTTCAACCAATAGTATTAAGTAGAACAAAAAAATACTAAAAGGGATAAAGTATTAAGTTGTTCATCAACAGTCAGGACAAAGGCTGATTAAGTCACTGTTTCTGATAGTGTCCTTTTCCCTTCAACAGGTTTCCTTTTTGGTGCTTGGTTAGTTGTCACCGATCCGGGAGAACATATGATATTTGTCCCTCTGGGACTGGCTTAATTCACCCAGCATGTGTTCCGGATTCCTCCATTTTGTTGCAAATGACCGGATTTCGTTGTTTTTGACTGCTGTATAGTATTCTATAGAGTACCTGTCCCATAATTTCTTTATCCAGTCTACTGTTGATGGGCATTTAGGTTGCTTCCAGGTCTTAGCTATTGTGAATTGAGCTGCAATAAACATTGAGGTGCAGACAGCTTTTTTATTTGCCAATTTAATTTCCTTTGGGTAAATTCCAAGGAGTGGGATGGCTGGGTCGAACGGTAGGGTTATATTCAGGTTTCTGAGGAATCTCCAGACTGACTTCCATAGTGGCTTTCCCAGTTTGCATTCCCACCAACAGTGGGTTAGTGTCCCTTTTCCCCCACATCCTCACCTGTTGTTGGTAGATTTCTGCATGTGAGCCATTCTCACTGGGGTGAGGTGAAACCTCATTGTGGTTTTGATTTGCTCTCCCTGATCACTAGTGATCTTGAACATTTTTTCATGTGGCAGACCCATTCTTGAGAAGCTGGCCCTAGGGGCTGCTGGAGGACCTCGATGTGCCTGTTCGCGTTGTCTTTCAGAAATTGAAAGGTGGAAGGGAAGTGGAGCTGCTACCTTGTTACACCTAAAACGCCAGTAGGTGCTACGAGCTTGTAGCCCAGCTCACCTGGTCAGCCTAGGACTGTCAGCAGCAGGCAGCCGCCACCAGTCCTGCTCCTGTTTCCCCGACTGCAGGCCCAGGTGCACACTCTGCGCTGCACTGACGGCCCTGGCTTCTCCTCTGAGGCACTTGCCGTGTGGAGGCTCGGAGGTGGGGGAAGCCAAGCAGGGGGCCTGGCACAGCAAGTTAGGCTTCCCGCACATGAGCCACCGCTCCGAGCCCTAGCTGCTCTGCTTCCAGCCCAGCTTCCTTCCAGTGCACCTGGGCAGGCAGCGGATGATGGCCCAAGTGCTCGGGCCTCTGCCACCCACGTAAGAGAACAGGACGTGACTCCCGGTTTCAGCCTGGCGCAGACCTGGCTGTTGTAGCCATGTGGGGAGTGAATCAGAGATAGAGGAGCTCTCTTTCTCCCTCTGTGTCGCTCAGCCTTTCAATAACATGCATACCCACAGAGATCTTTAAAAAGAGAGAGAGGCCAAGAAGGGCTCAGTTCACCCTCCAGAGGTCTCGCTGGCCCCTTCTCCCCCTCTTCGCGTCCATCCATCCTTTGCCACAGCCACCTCAGCACCAGACGCAGAAGCAGCAATCAGAGAGGGATTCTGCGAAGGAGAGTGGTATTACCTGGGACCAGCAGTGCACTGCAGTGGGCAAACGCATGCCGGAGTCAACTGTGGGTAAAGTAGAGACAAGGGGAAATGTTTTGTGTTTTAATTTGAGAAGCAGAGTGAGCAAGGAACACACACATCCCATCTGTTGGTTCATTCTCCGAATGCCTGCAATGGCGGAGGGACTAAAGCCAGGATCCGGGAACTCAATCCAGGTTTCCCCTGCGGGTGGCAGGAACCCATCACTTGAGCCATCCCTGCTGCTCTCCAGGATCTGTGTTAGCTGGAGGGAGGAGCCAGAGCGGGGATTAGAACCCAGGTGCTATGATATGAGATGCAGACATCTTAACCAGGGTCATAGTCAATAGGTGAATGTGTGCCCCAAGGAAGGGTTGTTTTTAAAGGCAAAAATGAGGGATTGCATTAGATATTTGAAACAACAGCCAATGGGCACCATGGTTAATAAGCAGAGTGTCATTATTCCAAGGCTGGACACAGTTAGGTGGATGCCCTTGCAGAAGTACTCTTTGTAGTAGGTCGGGGTGGCCTCTGTGAGGGCCAGGGGCTCAGGCAGAGTCTTTTGTGAGTTACCATCGGCGCCGTGGGTGAGAGGCTTCCTGAGTCAACTCCCGCTGCACTGCTTGCTAGGTGACAGTGACTTCACGGTGAGCCCCTCCGCAGCAGCTGCTCTGACCTCTGTAATTCCCACCGTCGCGGGAGGCCGGATCCCTACAGGAAATCCCATATCCTATGCCATTCCTTATTCTGCTTCTCTGATTGAGTGTCCAGTGACACTGGCCCATTCACTGGGACCACGGATGGGGACACCAAGTTGGGTCTTCCAGTCAGGACCTGTCGGTTCAGCTCTAGAGTCGTGGGAGGACAGGGCTAACTGAGCCCATAAACCATGGCCCAGGAGCAGAAGAGCCGTGTGGACTGGAGTCAGCAGGGCTGGAGTCGGGAGGGCTTCCTGGTGTGTGGCCTGGGGCAGGGGAGAGGGGGAGGACCAGGAGGATGGCCACAGGTGGGCGTCAGGGAATCGCTGTTGCCTGTCCCAGAGCTGCATAGGACGGTCCAGTGAGCTGCCAAAAATCCCGTCTCTCCTCCCCCGAGCAGTCTGCGCGCTGCCTGCTGTGCAGCGAGACAGGTGACGTGTTGTCCTTTGCAGGGACCTTCAGTGCCATGTCCCCGTCCCCCAGGAGGCAGTGTGCATAGTGCGTAGGCAGGTCGGTGCTGGGGTTGACATGCCCAGGTTTGTGTGTGTTCCAGCTACACTGTGACCAGCTGTGTGACCTTTAGCAAGTTATTTAACATGCTGTGCCCCGGTTTTCCCACGTGAAATCCTAAGGTGATTGTGGCTGCTTAGCGCATGTGAAATGCTTAGCATATACCCGGCACCTACTGAGTGCTCAGAAAGTGTGACCCAGCCTTGCCATTCACGTGGGCTCCTGCTTGGTGCCTCTCCCCTGGGAGTGGGGCCCCCTCCAGCACCTGCTGGGGGAGTGTCCCCGCCTCTCATCCACTCAGGCTCTGTCCCTGGGGTGTGACTTTCTCCCCTGGGTCTTTGTAGGTCCATGCTTTATCACCAAGGCTTTTGTGGCCCTTCCTTGAGAGCTGGGCTTGAGCCCCTCCCCTGTGTCTCCTGGCACGGTGCAGGGAACCCGCTGTGTCCATGGTGCTGCCATGTCACCCTGGTGTGGGAGCACTGGTCACCCGGCCACAGGGAGGTTTCCCTTCCTGAGTGTGAGTGTCGTGGGGACACTGACAGCAGCTCCGGTCCATCAGGGCAGCCCCTGGGTACTCGTGTCTTCTAGACTGTGTTTCGGATAAGAACTACATGGATGTTCAGTAGGTGATAATGTGTGTTTATTTTATATCTAGCTTACATCTGTAAATTTAGCAAGAGAGTATAGTGGCAAAGGCCTCCCACTGATGTCTGTATTTTCTTCATACTATTGTCATTTGGTATCCCTGGGGGTTGGTTTCAGGACCCCCAGCAGGTGCCAATCTGGGGGGGGTGTCCAAGTCTCATACAAAATGGCTCAGTATTGGCCTATAAGCTACATATACCATACCACAGGCTTAACATCACCTATAGACGACAGATAACACCAAACAGAACGCCATGTGAACAGCTGAATGTGTTGGTTAGGGAATGAGGACGATTTTTCTTTCTAGACATTTCCAGTTGGCAGTGGGTTTGAATCTGTGGATGCACGACCCTCACTGATGACCAAAAACTGCTGAGTCACGGGGCATTCGCAGGACAGCGAAGGCAGGTTTAGGGCGCCTTCGGAGAGGACTTCCTGGGTCCCCTGTGAAACAACTTAGAACCCGTAACACTGTGGACAAGGCTGCAGCCAGTCGCCAGCTGTTATTTCTCAGAATATGGGAAACCGGCCGGCGATGAATAGTTGAAGACAAAACAGCGGTAGGAGAGGAGGAAGGACAACTCTGGCCAAGAAGTAGCCGCTGGGCAGAGTCTGGACAGGTGTGACCCCGGGAGGAAACGGAGGAGGCAGGAGCCTGCCCACCTCTTCCCCTGGGAGGGCTGCCCGAGGGTGTCTGTGTCAGCTTGGCTGGGCTGAGGGTTCCCCTGCTGGTAAAATGGGATGTCTGGGTGTGTCTGGAGGCGTTGCTGGAAGACGCTAGCACCCAGGAACGAAGACTGTCACCAGTGTGGACGGGCACGAACCAGTCCGCTGAGGCCTGGACTAGAACAGAAAGGCAGGCCGGAGGTGCGTTCTCACTCTCTGGGCTAGAGCTGCCCTCGGACACGAGTGCTCCTGGTTCCTGGGCCTGGTGACTCCAGAGCGTACCTAGCACACCCGCCCTCACCACCGGGTCCCCAGGCCGCAGGCGGAGTGGAGCTACACGGCCGGCTTTCCTTGTAGACGGCACGGCCCGGAACTGCTGTCGCCATCAGCCGTGAGCCAGTTCCTGTCTGTTGACCTCGCTGTAGCCGCTGCTTCTCTTTCTTGGGGAAGCCTGACTACACAAGAGTTGATCATGGGAGACAAAACGTTTATTTGTAAAAGGGAGATGAAATCCTCGGTAGTTTAGAAGTGTTCTTTCCCATTTAGTCATACTTCTTGATGTACCAAAAAGGAAAAATAAAATCCTCCATACAGGCACAAGTCAAAGATAAGTAACAACCAGAAAAATGTAACCAAACTGTCACGTTGTACCCCTTAAATACACACAAAAAGAATCAACCAGGTAAACATTTTGCAAAGCAAATTTAAAATCTTCCATAAACGCTTTCTTTCTTTTTTCTTTATATATTTGATTTAAGTTATACAAGTTTGTGTATTTCCTTTATACCGTTATAGGAACATAGTGGCACTCCCCCTACTCACCCACACTCCAGCCCTCGGATTCCCACTCCTAATTTTTACACTGATCATTTTCCAGTACACTTAATGATCATATAGTTAATCTTGCCCTAAGTAAAAGAGTTCAACAAATACTATAAAGAGAAAACAGAACAAAACCCTGTTCCTCAATGAAAGAGACAAGGGCTATGAACAGTCATTGATGCTGAAGATGTCTGTTTCACTCCAGTACATCCAGTACCTCGGGTGCCCTGCTGGTTACTCGGATCTGGGAGAACATGTGACATCTGTCTTTGGGACCGGCTTGTTTCACTAAGTATAATGATTTCCAATTGAGACCATCTTGTTGCCAAAGACAGGATTTTATTTTATTTTTTAGTGTGTGATTTCTTTATCCAGTCATCAGCTGATGGACATCGGGGTTGATTCCGTATCTTAGCGATTGTGAATTGTGCTGTAATGAACATGGGGGTGCAGATAACTCCTTCACATGCTGATTTCTTTTGGTTTGGGTGAATTCCTAGGGGTGGGATGGCTGGACTGTATGGTAGGTCTCTATTCAGATTTCTGAGGTATTTCCACACTGGCTTCCACAGTGGCTGTACCAGTTTACATTCCCACCCACTGTGAATTGGGGTGCCTTTTCCCTACATCCTCATCAGCATTGGTCATTTGTTGACTTTGTATGGAGTGAGGTGAAAGCTCATTGTGGTTTTGATTTGCATTTCCCTGCTGGCTCGTGATCCTGAGCATTTTCCCAAGTGTCGTTGGCCATGTGGATTTCCTCTCTTGAAAACTGCCTGTCCGAGCCCTTTTAAAGAGAGAATCAGGCCTGGCGTTGTGCCACAGGGGGGAAGCTGCTGCTTGCGACGGAGTCCTGGCTGTTCCACTTCCAGTCCAGCTCTCTGCTGGTGCGCCTGGGAGGGCGGCGGAGGATGGCCCGGGTCTTGGGCCCCCGCCACCATGTGGCAGGCCCGGATAAAGTTCTGGGCTCCTTGCTTCAGCCTGGCCCAGCCCTGGCTGTTGCGGGCTTTAGGGGGGTGACCCAGCACGTGGACGGTTTCTGTCTCCCTCTTTCTCCTGTGACTCTGCCTGTCACGCAAACAGAAATAATCAGTTAAGAAGGGAGAGACGCTGAAGCACGAAGCCGCCCAGGGCAGGGTCCTGAGCAGAGGACCAACAGCCGCGTGTGGAGCTGCCCGTCCCCGACAGCCAGCGGCTGGGGTGCGGGGACCTCGGCTCTCACGCTGCAGCCTCACTCCTGCCAGAGCCTCGAAAAAAGCCCAGCCCACCTGGGGTCTCCCTGCTGTGAGCTGCGAGGCCAGCGCCTTGCCGAGGCTTTTGTGGCACTTGGACGGACGCTCCACTTCTCCAGGGTTCGCTGAAAGCGAGGCTTGACATCAGGACGGCTTCCGTCTGCTCTGAACTGCGCAGGCCTGGTCTACGTTCTGTTACAGCTCACGACGTGCTGTCTCGCAGCGGCACGCGCGCCGTCCTCCACGGGGCCGCCTCCCCCGGGTTAGCCCGCGCTGGCATGTGCTCCGTGTCATCAGGGGAGCCCACCCTCTTCCGGCTTCCAGGCCACTAAAGAGGTGGCGTTGAACTCTGCTTCCGTGTGGCACGCCTGCAGGACAGGTGAGAGACAGCCTCGGCACGCTGGCGCACCAAAATCAGAAACGCAAGCTTGGAGCTAAACCCGCGCTGCCTCCTCTGTCACGGTGTCATAGCCTCACGTGGGCAGCTCCTCCCTGGGGACGGCCTCAAGAGGACCGCCTGGAATTCCATTAGTGCTGAGAAACCCACAGGCATTCCTGGAGCAGAGCTGCGGACGTGTAATATAAAGGCGGAGGGCGACGAAGTCTGGCTGTGCCCTGCTTGTGAAGTCGAGAGCAAGAATACCAGATTCTCTAAAAGCGAGGAGCAAGGCCAGCGGTACTGCGGGAAAGGTCACGCCCCAGGACCCTCCAGAAGAGAAATCACCGCTTCGGGTGGAAAATCCACAAAGGAGCCACCCTTGCAAAGTCGGAAGGCAGTCTTGTCTTCTACACGTATCTTTGGGAATCTGATGGCCCCGACAAAAGGAAAGAACGGAAGTGCAAGCCTGGAGGAGCACAGGTGTGCGGCGGAGGAAGGAGCCAACAGGCAGAAGGGCGGCCATGGCTTACAGGAAGCCAGATCAGCCAGGCACACCTTGAGGTTGCTCCAGGAAGCTCTGCGAAGGGGCAGCTTCCTGTGCCGGAGGAGTCCTCTCTCGGTCACTCAGCAGACGCGAGCAGTGGCAGGCTGCGAGGGGCCGAGGCCCCGGCTCTGGCCTGAGCCCATCCGGGGAGGAGAGTGAGGAAGCAGACGGGCGGCAGCGGGGTCTGCGCGCTGCGCTGCTGGTGCTGGGCTCAGGCTCCCAGGTGGAGCCGCGGGGGACGCAGAGAGCGAAGGGTGGGAGGCGAAAGGGGAGCTGCAGAGGCGGGGTGAGGCCGCGCTCTCAGGCCCTGCAGTGTGGACTTGCGTTAGACACCAGGGAATTGTGGGAAAATCCATGTCAAGGAGCAGAAAGAATTACACTGACAAAGTGGTTTTCTTTTTCAGAAGATTTTTGAATTTTTTTAACCATCTGATACCTTGTTTTTTCATGCTAATGTGATATTAATACAAAAACAACAGATTCAGTGTAGTTCATAGATATGAATGTAATGATATTCCCTCCCTCCCTCCTTCCCTCCTCCCTTCTTTCCTTAATGTGTTAAGAACTTTTGTCTTGGGGCCAGCGCTCTGCTGTAGTGGGTAAAGCCACCACCTGCGGTGCTGGGATCCCATA